CTGAACACTAGACTTTAAAAACAAACTCTATAAACTGATTATATCAAAAACATGATTCTGCCTCAAAGCCAAGTAACATTGAAGGGAACTTGCTGCAAACTCTGGAAATTAATCATCTTTATCAGGAAGGCAGCTCCAGAGCATATGGGCTCAGTCTTACCTCAGCATTTCACCTCCAGCCCCTTTGCAGTTACCAGGCCCAGGAATCCACTTACTGGCGCTTCCCTGGTAGATCCCATTCCCACAGCAGATGCAGGAGTTTGAACTGGGGAGGGGAGGAGAGAACAGGGGGATTTTGAATAGAATATTCCCCCACCCCCTTCACAACGACATCTTTATCTGTCAAAGCAAAACCCAGCGTTTTTAGTTACCCCTAGAAACAACATGTTTTGTGAAATACTGCACAGTCTCACCAAACAATAAGTATTCTTTCTGGCATGCAAATCAGTGCTCAGCGAGCAGGACAAACGTACACTTGCAATGCAAACTGCTATAATGCCATAGAAATCGTAAAGCCACCATCCTCATGAGAAACTGGATGTTGTTACACACTAGAACGTTTAGGCAAAATTAACATCAGCATTTGCATGCAAAATGAAACCTTTAATTTAGAACAAGGAGTCTAACTGCACAAGAGAAGGACGCAGCAGAGCAACGAGAGCAGCGGGCCCTGGTGAGGGTGGATTTCTCCATTAACCCAGGTGGCAGGTGAAGGGCAGCCTCTCTCCATGGCAGAGCCTCGCGCGCTCGGAGCCGCCAGATGGAGCCAGCAGTTCTCGGGAAGAGGCGCCCGGGCCATCCCGGCACCGGGACGGGGCTGCAGCAGAGGACCAAGAGCACGTCCCCCTTCTCAGCTGTACGGCAGCGACAGCAGCGCCCGCGCCCAGCTTGCTGCAAACTGCCCTTCTGGGCAACAGAAACACGATTTAACGGGGTGTGGAGTCTATCCCAAGGGGCTAAACAAGCACCAGAATTTTTACTAAAGTTTGTTCATCACAGATCTGTGTAGAGAATTTCATCTAAAACACTCAAAAGATTAAGCAGCAATATGTCTACACACTATTACTTATTTCATGTTATTTGATCTCCAAAAGTGACCAGTGAAGGAAGGAGGAGAGTAAGGGACATCTAAACAGTCGGCAAATGGTCTGTTCCATCCAGGTCGTGGGTAATTAAGATGAACTAGTTTGATTCAAACCACTGGCAGCTCAGTACAGAGACCAGGCTGCAGACCACTTGTCCAGAAAAACGGGAGACTTCAGTCACCTCCTCCCCCCTCTACAGCTTTTAATATAACCATATTACAAGTCTGATACAGACAGGTTGGCTCTGGAAACAAAGCCATTGCCTGGCTAGCTCAAAAGCCAGTAGACTTGCTTATAAAAAACAAACCCCCACACACCTAAGACCCCTATCAGACAGACATGGTGCTTTTTCAAAAATCATCAAGAGTAATAAAAATGAATTGCATTAGCCTGGTAAGAGTGACTAGTTTTACACATGAAAAACATCTGTGCAAGTCCAAGGCAAAGCTCTCAAGCCATGTAATGGGGGAAAAATGAACTTGCATTCTATAGTACAGGAGAAATAAACAGTTTAGAGGCAGGTTTATTAAACCTTGCCATCACAATCACTTCCTCTATGCTAAATCTCTTTCTTGGTGTTAGAGATAACACCTCCTCCTCCCAAGAGAAGCACCTGCCATTGCCGTGAAGTAGGGAGATTACAGTGAGAATCAGCTTTTTTGCCCCCTTTCCTTCAAAGTCAACAGGAGGTGAACACAGCAACATATTCTTATAGCAATTAAAGAAAGCTTCTGTCCACATGAGCTCTAGAGGGGGTTGCATTGATAAGCAGTACCCTCCTCTTATGGAGGAGGAGAGCGCCCTGTCAGGTCCCAGCAGCGCTTTAACGTTCAGGAAAGCTTCAAAAATCACAACAAGTATCCAGTTAAACGAGTTCTTCCTCTTACTGCCTTCAAGATTGCTGCTTTGCGCCTTAGGCCTGAAATATTCTAAAACACATTAGCTCTGCAGCACACAACTGGAACTTCAGAGGACTGTTGATACCATACTGAATTTTAATGCCCAGTAGTGTTTTTCTCTGTTTTCATTAAACCAAGATTTTGCCCAGAAGTTACAATTAAAGGAAGCCTCTACAGAAAACACTTGGCACAGAGAGCTGAAGATATTCTTTATGCTTCATCTGAATGCTCATCTGGCAAATTCTCGCCCTATCTAGGAGGAGTGAGTCTAGCCTCACTCTGGAGTGTAACTTGCTTTTTAAAGTAGAACTTCACACTGGACATAGCATCTTACAGCAGTGGCTTGCCTTCCGCATTATTATTTGCTAGAGTACTTACAGAATAGCCACAGCTAAGCCAAATGCAAAGGACTACATCCTTCCTGCAGGAAACAACTCCCTGACTTTCTAATACTAAAGACATTTCCCAAGAACACTACTCAAATGCTTGAGTTAAAGTGCACAGTCAAGTCTTGCAAGACTTTATGTATTAGCTACTTGCCCATAGTCCTGCTCTAGGGAGAAGATTTCAGGTTAGATAATATTGACTTGGATTTTAATTACCTAACACAAAAAGGCTGCTAGAATACATCAACTTCACAAGAGCTCCCAATTGTTCCAGCTACAGAGCATGGCAGCAACACACACATGTCAAAGCCCTCCTTCATGTGCTCCAACCAGTTATGGAGATTAGCAGCTAAAGCTTCCTTTACACTGGGCACAGGGAGCCCCAAATCCAGAGGCAGCATTTCTGCTCTCATCTTTTACTCTAGTCAACCAACTTGAGGCTGATGTCCAAACAAGCCAGTCTGGAGGTCCTCCAAAGATCATTGAATTCCACTGTCCTCAGAGGAACAAGCACTGAGGTACTTCCATCATGGGAGGTAGAAGCAACCATATTACAGGCCCAGGGAGCAATTTTATTGCTTTCCTCATGTTTACCACAAAAGGATACTAGAATGCTGCCAGATTTAATCTCTAACCTTAGTACTTCTAAAAAGAGAAAAAAGTGACAAGCTGAGACCATGGAAGAGATTCAGCATTTAGCAACACAATAGCAAGGATCTTGTTCCACACAAGCTCCATCTCAGTGGTAGAGCTGTTATCAGGGGAACAATAAGCTCTGTGAGAACAGCACACAGGCTATAAGAACAACAGGAGTCTGCTCCAAGTATAACTTCACCTGTGCCACCACCTACTGTAACCTGTACTGTCTGCATGGAGAAAGAGAACAACCACATGGTACTCAAGATCCCAACTTGGAGCTATGCACATGCAACTTCAGAGTTCATTATTCCTAGGGGAATAAGTTATTGCTCCCAATTATGAGACTTTCTATACATTGTCTTAGAGAAGCTTGAACTAATTAAGCTTATGATGAGCTGAGTTTATCCACTAGATGAAGGTTTAAGCTGAATTTTAGTTCAGACCTAAAGGTTACGTGAGCTGTCTTCTTCTAGAAGCACATCTTCATTTGCTGTATGCACAACATGCACTTAGCCTTTGTCTGTGGAAGGTCAAGATGAAGCTTTCCAAGAAGTATTACAGCTCCAAGCACCCCGGTGAGTGTTTGAACTGTATCTCATATACAGTCTCCAGTGACAAGTTCTACGAGCCTCCAGCCTCTGCTTCAATAGCAGCTGTGTAGTGCCTTGCTAATTATCTTGTTTCAAGAAAGTTTACAGAAGGGGCTAATGATTCTTCCAGATCATACAAAGTAACAAAAACAAAGGAATTGAACTTGACAAGAAGAAAGATTACAGCACCTTTTATTTAGTATAGGTTCCCCAATCCAATGAGTTGCCTGACAAGGAGAACTAATTATGGAAGACAATGAGTTTATGATAAGTCCCTGCAAAACCTCAGACCAATAGAGGCTCTAATGTCTAACACATTTTACTCTCTTCAAAGTTCAGAGGCAGAATGCACAAGAGCAATCTAGTACATGTTAAAAATTCTTCTCAAGCTTAAGTTACAATACAAAGTACTGAACAGTATCTGCTACTCCATCTCAAGAAAGAGCAGTATTTGTTAACCTCGTGCTGCAGCGTGCTCATAAAAAAATCCCGCCCCCCTCCCCCCCTCAGGTAACTGCATTTTAAGCATCTGGTACAAGCAAGATACAGTTACTCCTTTATAAAACTGTTCATTTCTTCTACATACAAGTCCCTAATTCACTGAGAGACTTCACAATCAGCGGTTAGTAACTGCACTTAAACTGTATCAGGATACAATTTAGGAAGCTGATAAGATGGTGAGCTAAATACTGATTTTTCTTCCATTTCTAGGCTGGTTCTGTCAATTAAAGTGACCACCATAGTATAACTAACAGTAAAACTCCAAATGTGTCTCCATGTGCTAGGTTGCTGTGCATAGAAACAATACATACAAAGTTAACAGCAAACAACAGACATAGCAACTGCTTAACTTCATTTTCTTTTTGACACCGTGCAAGTCGCTAGCCAGCTAATCACTGAGAGGTAGCATGTTTGCCTCGATTCCAGGTCGTGGTTTGAGGTGTTACCCATCTTCCTCAAAGTATTCATGCTCAAGTTCCCATTTCTCCAACATGATCACAAGTGTTGCAATATAAGCAGAACAGATGACCAACACGTGCATTTTCAGGCCAGTACCAGGGAGGACGACGATGATTGATGGAGAATGACTTTAAATGAATCTAGCCACAATATGTGGAAAAACCCAGGACAGCATTTCAAGGAAATGGTGGCAATACAATTCCTTTCAAAGACAGTCTTGCAGTTATTTTCTCATCCTCACATCACTAATTTAAGAATGATAAAATGGGGAATGCACCTAGCCAGTATTTAAATACCAATTGTTGCATTACTTAAGTCTGAATCGAGTCCATAGGCTTGATTCATGAATGCTGTATTGACTCAACAGGAACAAAGTTAACTTGAATGTTGAGTTGCCTCTCAAATGTCAGTTGCTATTTATTAAATGAAGGATGGGGAGAAAAGCAGCAGATTTAAGACATACCAGTGACCACTAGCAGATGATAGAGACTCAAACCTTTACCAGATGCCATCTAAATTGTCTGTAGTTTGCAACAAAGGGCAAAGACACTGAAAATTGTTCAAACCTGAACAACTGTGCTTGTTAAGGCCAATAGAGGTTCAAGAAAAAAAACACTCAAACATTAAAATATACTAGGAAGTTAATATGAAAGTACTTGGTATAATCAAACAGAATTATTGTAGTTCTGAGACTCAGTATATATCTAGCCTTGAAAGACACTGGGAAGACAAAGCCCATTTCCATGTAAGTAGGCATAGGTTTGTTGCATACCAGAAATGGTTTCAAAGTTCTGTTTTCACATTTTGAAGGTGTGATATGCAAAGCAAGAAATAAGGGAGTCAATACAGACTTCCTTTCATGAATCCAGCCCTATATCCTTAGTGGTATCTTATCCTGCCACCTGTAGATATTAACAGTTCCCCAAGCATCACAGTAAGCAACATCTTTCTTTAAAGCTTTTCTTGTTCTTGCCACTTTTCTTGCCATTCTTGTCTTTGTTTTCTGACATTTTCTTTGCTCTGATTTCTCTCATTAGATCAAAGAATACCTGGAAGAGGGAAAAAAAAGATTTACAACAAGTTCTGCTGGCAGATGACCAGTATTAGGCAAAAACATAAACACCACACACACTATATACACCCAGACTGACATAGATATACACAGATGCCCGCAGCAAACTCAGCAACACGATTGTCTGTGAAGTAGAAGTAGGGCAGCCTTATCCAATTACTACATCATCCAGCAGCCTGTTTCAAGAAGCTTCGCTAAAATATCATTCTTGTTGGAAAACAATACACAGCAGGGTTCAGGGCTCACAAGAAATTTGTCCCTGACACATCCAATCAAGCACCTCATGTGTTAACCAGGGAAGTTTAGTCTAGCTCTGTCCAAGTACTTCAGAGCTAAAACTATAGTAGGTAGTGGCCTGCTTGTTTTATAAGTGGGTTCTACCAGTAGCAATATTATGGTACAGAAAACACTCTTCATAAGAGATATTTAGAGAAGAGTGATTACTCTGATTAAGTTTCACCAAAAACTCTAAAGATTTAACAGAAACTGCAAATTTGATACCTAAGCACATACCACCAGTAAGGTTCAACAGCTATTTCACTGCAGAGCAGTAATGGGAAGCTATGTTTTTGAGCCCTGCAGAAGAGCAAGAGCTTTCTGCTCTGCTTTCTGTTGCTCTACAGAGTTAGGCTTTAAGTGAACAGCTATACATCTCTTGGGTACTTGGAAACAAAATCTTGTTACTGAACAGAAATAAGATTCCTCTCTCACATTCAAAACCTTCTTCTGGAATGGTTTGTTTTGCCACATTGCTGACATTCCTTGTTACAGTGCCTGTGAATATGGCTTAAAGAAAAGGTCTAGATCACCACATCTTTCTAAACTGATGTTAGGCTCAGAGACCACAGATATACAGCCATACTCTCATTAAACTCAACCAATAAAAAACATCCAGTTTAATAGAAGAGGGCTAAACGCTTTTTGGTTATATTAAACAGCTCAGAGGCAAAGACTGCATCCAGGTATTTCTATTTCTTCGTACTTACCCATTTTTGTATCTGACAGTCTAAACTTTCCAGTGATTCCCCACAAGTTAGTTTCTTCTCTAGATTTAAATTGTCTCATGTCTTTTACAGCCAAAAGATATCAAGAGCTATCTATATGCTGTTTTAGCCAGGGATCAAGCAGTCACATGTTATTACAGGGTAACTCATGTACCAACAGCACTTTTACCAATAAATTAATAAAGACTAGGAGAAATTAGCAGCAGCTTACAAGTTAGTTATATGTGCAATCTGGCTAGCTGCACGCATTCATTTGCATTTGTAAAGTTCAAACAGGTGCAGGTTACCAAACCAAACATTTGGACTCCCTAGTAGACCAAGCAGTAAAGTCTTGCTGGGTTTTGGTGAAAAAAGGATATCACCTTTTTCTAGCAGCCCCTAACTACATTGAACAAGGTGGGGAAGTCCAAATCTGTTGATTTTCTTACTGATTCAACCCTGAACAGTCAGCTCATTTTCTTCAGGAAACACCCCCCAAAGGCAAGGCTGATGCAAGAAATCAGCAGCACGAGCATGCTGATGAGAATGATGAAACCTAGACCAGTATGGACACGCAATAAAAATGAGAAAAGGAGATGGCAAAGAGCTTTCTATAGTTCAACACAGTCCTGGCAAAGGGAAAAAAAATATGCAACATCAGCCATACCTTGTATAGCCCTGAAGGGAAGGAAAACAGAATTTCACAGGCAGCTATAGCTTATATGCTTGCTATTTATTTTAAGAGGACACAGGCTATAAACAAGGTAACACCTGTGGTCCTCCTGCACACTTCTGAAGCCCTTAAACTTATCTACCCAATGTATTACTGGAAAGCTGGTTCAGATGCAAACACCTAAAACAAGAAAATAGTATAACTTAGTGGTTCCCAGCTCCTCTAAACTAGGCACACAAACCTACATAGTTCATTGAGTAATTGTTTTAATAACATACACTTTTCACAAACTCAAGTGTGGACTTGCTTTTGTCACACTTTAAAAACAAAAACCATGCTGCATACACACAAGAGTGAGTCACTCAGCTACTGAACAAGTTAATGATGTTACTGTAGTAGAAGTCAGTCTTTTGTCTTACCTTATCTACATTTGCTCTAGTTTTAGCAGAGGTCTCTACGTACTGCACACCCCACTCCTCTGCCTTACTTCTAGCCTCTTCTACAGGCACTTGTCTGCGCTCTTCCAAATCAGACTTGTTTCCAACTACCAACAAAGGGATTTTATCCTCTTCAGCCTTCACACGGAGAATCTGTTCCCTAATGCATCAGGTATTCAAAATAAAGATATCTGTTAGAAACAGCAGGAAAAAAAGTAGCTTATCAGGAGCAGATTGTGTGGTCTGCATACTTCTGGTGTTTACAGTGGTTTTTAATGTTTCCCAGTTGAATACACATTTTTAAACAATTACAAGTTTAATATACTAATGCTATGTGCTTTACATTAATCTAAAGTTCATTTTTCCAGAATAGCTGTTTCACCATTTAGTTGGAATGTTTGCTACCCAGGTTTTAATAGAGAAGAGTTGTACAGCAGAACAGCAACTCATAGCAGCAGTTCATATCTGAATGAAAGAAGTGTCACATCTGCCAAGTTTCAGCATAATACTTAGTGACAGTCTTCAAGCTATATCCCACCTCCACATAAGCCCAGGAAGCATCAAGGCTTTGCCAAGGCAAGAGCTCAGGAAAAGCATAAGTAGTCTGCAAAATCATTAATAAAGGCTATCCATGCAGCATAAGAGAAGAGTTACTGAATAGTGTTAAACTGGACTAGCAAGCTTCCTTCTCTAAAAACTCCATAAAAAATATGGAATTAGTACTAACCAGGATACCCCTGTTCATTCCTAACAAACCTGCCAGCACCTGGGAGAGCTGATTGAGAGCCACGCTGCACATGAGCCTCAAAGTCAGTGCTGCTACTGGAGCAGCAGCACAGGCAGAAACCACACAGCACATGCTGCTGTCCTTGCACCCTGGGAGGGCTGGACTAGTGCAGTTGCTCTCACTTTGCCTTTCATTTCCTTATGAACAGGAACCAAAGCAAGCAGGGTGCTACCCCCCTTCCACATTACACCAGGTTTAGCTACTTTAGATGCTGGCATTTTCTGTGCACGAAATAGCTGAATGAATTTAGAATGCAAAATACTGCATTAAGACCGAAGCCGACAGTCCCCTGCTACAGCAAACGGTACCTTCACACATCGTTAGACTGCAGGGGCATCGAAAGCAAACACTGAATGCACAGCACCAAGAGAGCTAACAAGGCTTAAAATACACTCACAGTTAACACTCAATCTGTTCATAAGAATTTTAAAACTTACAAGATCAACAATTCTGATGAATAGTTTAGCCCATGGCATTGATGATTGATGATTCCTACGACTATGCTACCTCTTCCATGGAAAAAAAGGGGGGGTTCCCAAGCAGCCAAATCTTAGATTTCAGGAAGTTACATTTAGCTAATTCCATTCCACATTTACTTCTGAACTATTGAAGAGTAGGAGATTATCCATCTCAAAGGTTTTAGGTTCTAACTCACCTGCCTTACCTAACACACACTGCCTGGTGCTTCACTGTTTGGTTGTGCTGGAGCCTAGAACCAACAAAGTTCATCTAGTTTGGGCAGGAGGGTTGGGTGGGAAGAGACTGCCAAGATAACTGTCCTTTTCATCTCAAGGTCAAGCCCAAGGCTTGAGACTATGATTTTGCCTAAATATGCAGGCAAAAAACCCATGCTGAATACTTCCAGGAAGCACCTCATCCTTTTCCTGTTTTTGAATGGCCTTTCCTCCCTCTTGCATCAGGCAGAGCACTGAACACTGACTTTTGCAGCCCAGAGATGCAACTGTTTAGTTGCTTCAAATTCTGCAAATAGAAGAAATAGGGGAGGATAGCTCTTCTAATGCTCCCTATAAGGTGGCCATCCTCCTAAAAATCAGGCAAAAGTCACTATGTGACTAAGGAAAGCCTTCACATATCTTTTTAAGAGATTCAGTAGTTTCCTAGCACCACAGGGAAGTTTTAACACATCTAGAACTTAGACTCTCCCAGAGCATGGGAAAGTTAGCCCTTTTTTCTTAAAAAAAAAAAAAAAAAAAAAATCCTAGAAACAAGTCTAAGTACTAGTGTTCAGCAAGGTAGACACTTCCTATTAGGACCTTACAGTACTAAAGCTAACTGAACATAAGCCAAGCTGATAATTAAAGGGTTTCTGTTCTGGCAGGCATTAGAAACTCTAACACTTTCCTTATGTTTTGGAAAGTTTCACTCCAGGTTGCACAGCTGTCCCAGGAAATCTCTGAATTGCCCTCTCTGCTGAGGCTATAGCTATTAGCCAATGAAGGTCAGAATATCTCCCCGGAACCTGCCTACACGAGTTCTGAGACGAGAGCAATGGATCAACCCCCCACCCCAGTTCTTTCATACTACACAAGCCATTTCCATGCTCAGGCTGGTACTGATTTTTACATCAGAACAGCTAATCCTGGGAACAAAACTGAAGCACTTACTACTGCTGCTTGTCTTTCTAGGAATACGCCTGCCTACAATAGTGGTGCTTGGCTGCCAACCCTTGTTTGGCACCCAGCCATACCTGAGAGTGAAGGCTGATCCTTCCTTTCCTTAGAGCACCTGCTTCCAGCAGTAAGCAACAGTGTCTGAAATCTGGCCAAAAGGTAGACTTAATTCCAGAAGTACTGCTTGAAGATAATTAAACTCCACGTTTACCAAGACTGAAGAGTTGGCTGGAATGCACAAGTTCTAGGAGTCCAAGAATCTGTTACTTGCCTTAAGTTGCTGCTGGCATGAGATACTCCTAAGTTAAATGCATGAGGACAACTATAGCCAAAGGCTACATATAGTGGTTTTAGTTACCAGTTACTTGAGAACATAGTTGTTGGACTGACACCTTCATTGACCAAATGGGAAATGACAAAAGATAAAGAGGTATAGTTTAAGAAAAGCTGTCAGAGCGGCATAGGATCTAAATCCAAGCTGCCGCCACCACCACACACTTACCGAAACTCTGCTGTTGCTGTAAAGGATTCATGCTCCGTTATTGAGAAGACTAGAAGAAACCCTTCCCCGCTGCGGAAGTAGTTATCTCTGATGGCTGCATAATCCTCTTGTCCTGCTGTGTCCAGAATGTCTATCTGAACTTCTTCACCATCCAGAACTACTTTCTTTCTGTAGCTGTCAGCCTTAGTAGGCTCATAGTCTTCCACAAACTGATCAGCATAAAAACAGGAATTAGTTTAAGACATTGTCCAATGGCACTCAGTATTTTCCTGTATCCATTTTTCTTCCTAAATTCCTCATGGCCTTTCCATAGTTCAGTTACCTACTAAGTTGCATCATTTAATTTTACTACAAAAAGAAAATTACTTAAGCACTTAATACATCAAAGAGTCTGCTTAGTTAAGAGAAATAGTCTTGCTAGATGAAACTCTGTCCAGCAACTTCAGCACAGTTTAAAGGACAAAGGAACATCTAGTATAAGCTGTCAGTAACCTGGTATCATACCCACTTCAAGAATAAGGCATTTGTGAACACACCCAAGGTACAACTATCTGAAGTTTAAACAGGTGCTGACAATCGTGTTCAACTGCTGAGCATGAAAGAATGCTCCATAATTACACAGGCATAGAGCTGCCGGGCATTAAATGTTGATCTGACCACCCCCCCAGAGCCACTGTCAGTTCATCTTGTAATTTTGCTGGCAACACAGGTCCAGTGTGGACAGGTCCAGGCCCACAAACTCAGGTCCAGTGAAGGCATCTCATCCTTCTATCTCCTTCCTGTCTCACAGGACATCACAAGGTTGCATGATGAGTTCTCCAAGCCAAGCCTAGCTAGGTTAAAGCTTATGCCAGATGAGCTACACCTAAAGACTTGTGCCCTCAGGTTAGTCTTGACATGGTATTCCTTATGTCAAACTCAAGTCAAGGAAGTGTCCAGTCAGCACCTGACACTCTGCATTATCTCAGCAAGGTACCAAGACCCATCCTGTTTGTCCCCATAGATGCAGCCCACTGAGGTATCTATCATCTCATTAACCTAGTAAGCTGCAGCACTGCCAAACCCAACTTACCTCATCGTACATAAACTGAAGAGTGAGTGCAGATTTGCCTACGCCTCCACTGCCAACCATGATCACTTTGTGGAGGGCCAAGGAACTCTGGTTCTTGCTCTTGCTGGCAGCCATTGTCCTGTTCTCCACAAATGCCAAATGCCAAGCAAGCAATTAGATCTGCAAACAGAAGGGAAAAAAAAAAAAAAAAACAGTCAATACCCATAGCGTCACTGATGACACGATGGCAGTTTGCCATTATCCCACTATTGGTAAAAGACCAGAATAAAACCCCGAGAAGTAAGCCATTCAAATATATTAGGACTCAACTTGTGAACTTGTGTCACTGACGTCAAAGAAAAGGTATGAACCAGGTATTGGAACAAATACCTGCCATTTTGGCAACAGGGCCACTAATACAGACAAAGGCTTGTCAGAGAAGCTGCTGGTTGAACAAGCTGCTCTTATTTGTAAATCCAACTTCAGGGACTGCTACCTAGAGAAGTTGTCCATGAAAAGACTTTCTTCTAACATCATAAAATTATTTCTATAGTACCTATTACAGGACTTTTATATCTTTCTGAACTATTTATGTGAATGCAGCTTAGTTTCAACCTAAAAAACAGAGCTATATCTTAGATCTACTCTAAGTAGAAAGATGACTATCTCCTCTACACAGGAGCAGAAAGAGCAGCAATAGAGTAAATTCTAGCAGAAACAAATTGCAGAAGCATCTAGTGGAAAGTCCTATGACAAGGCATTTGTTTCATGCCATTCCTGCCTTTTGATATTACAAGTCTTGCAGTTAAGCAGGATTTTTTTGAAGAAAAAACCCACAGCTCCAATACTTCTGGGCTTGCAAACAGTAAACTACTGCTCTCCCCTACAGAGAAGCTTCCACAAACAATTACTATTTAAGCAAGCTTCTTATGTGTCATGGAAACCAAGTATTTAAGTGATGGAGACCTGTTTTGAAACTATTAATGCATTTTGGGAGAGTAGCTGGAAACTGCAGCCCAGACAGATAAGCATCAGCCACCACTGACACACACAGAACAGGGAACAGCAGCTCTAACAGCAGGCTGGGACAAAAGCAGAAGTGATGATGCACCAAAACCCCCAGCTGAGACATCACCAGTCCTGTAATTCTAAACAGAGAAATAAGCAGACACATGAGCTCCGTGATTGCTACAGTGAAGATGCAAGGATGGTGACACTCGTGTCCTCACAGCAGAACAACCAAGGGCCCTACTGTGGCAGGGTTTTCTGACAGGGGCAGCAGACAATTCAGGTGACATTTCATGTGGAAAGCAGCAATATTAGCTTGGCTTTAGAGCACCACCAGAAACACAAACTAGAGCACAACATACCTATCAGAAGCCTCATTAAACAGAGCTTCATTTAATCCAAAGGACACTGCAACTACCATATTGCACAAGTTTTACTGGCTTGAAACACAGAAGCCTACAGTAGAAGTATTATTTTCTAAAAGCCTCAGGCTAGCTAGCTGTTCAAAACAAAATTATGTAGGGGCTAAGGAGCTGTTGACCTCATAGCAAACTACAGAATTATTTAGGTTGGAAACAACCTCTGGCTGTTGTCTGGTTTAAATAACTCGTCCCAAGCAGATGGCCCTAAGCAATCCAACTTATGCCCAGTTAAGTCTTGTGAATGGAGATCCCATGACCACTGAGCAGCCTGTTCTGGTGTTTGACCACAATTACTGTGAAGTTCCCTCCCTTGTTATAACTTGATCTTCTGAAAAAGAAGGGCTCCAAAACTCGCAGAATTAGTGCATACCACACAAGAACAACATGTCAATCAAGAAATGACCTCAGGACAGTATTTTCAAGCATCTGACTTACAGCATTTCAGCATGCAGAATATTTAATCACACCTGCTTGCTACAAACACTTGGTAGAGTAATACAAGTTAATCATTTTTAAGTGCTCACCCCAGGATAAACATTGGTAAGTGAAGACAGGCATTCTCCGCTGGTAACCATCTATTTTATTATACAGCAGATCTCTCACCCAAAACACTGCTCAAGTACAACACTGAAGGTTAAGGAAATGGGAATACAGAAATGAAAAGTAACCTTTAGGGATTTTTCAAAGCAGTCATGACTGTTCTTTACCCTCCACGTAGCTACACGAGACAGGTAGAACAGACTCTGGCTTTAACACTTAAAAAGTACAACGCAACTGCAGTATAGAAAGATTTACTAAGAGTTTAATTAGAACATAGCAGCTTCTTCCTTCCTTTCAAGACAGATACCATATTTAATATTAATACCTGGCCCTATTAAACCACTTTTGGGGTAAAAGGCCATCCAACTTAAATCAGCACAAGATCTCCATAGTGCTAAACACTCCAAGAGAATATTAAATCCTTCCTTGGCCATTCCACCTCAATACTGAGAGAAGACACCAGAGCTGGCCTTTGTTTTTGTATACACAACTCACAGCAAGAGCTAAACAATAAACAAAAGCACCTGACAGCATGTAAATATTGACAGTTTGAGCACACCTAAAGCTAGCTTTAGCTACTTAACCCTAATATTCAGTTTCCTGCAGAGTGATTACTAGTGCTAATTGAACTTTTTAGATTGATACTATATGAACCCTCTCCAAAGGCCAGTGGAACAGGGCCAGGACATAACCCAGTGCTGCATTCCAAAATCCTGAAAGCTTCACATGCACAGCAGCCCTTCCCTGCTGGCAGAGGAGATAAAGAGGGCTATGCTTCTCTCTGGCCTCAGAAAGGGCTGGGCAAGTACAGTGTAGAATGGAAGCAGAACACAAAACAGCTAGGTAGTACAGAGCAAGACAAAGCTATGCCTCACAGAACTGCGAGGCACTGGACATAAGAGACAAAACACTAAACATACACCACTGATTCTGTAAAGGACACTAAGATAAGCATTGATAAAGCAACAAGAGAAGTTAATATTTTGTTTACTTGCATTTCTACCTCTGCAGTCCACGAACCTCTTTAGGCAGCACTGTTCAAAGCTCTCATGCTACACTTCTTGAGGTTAGACTCCCTAATAACACAAGGGGAAGCTCCCTCCTGAACCATCTTGGGTTAAGCAAGGAACAGTTTCTCTCTACTCTGTAGATTAAGCATCCTTCAGCCAGTCAAGATGTTGACATGACCTCATCTTTACAGGAAGAGAAGTCTTGCAAAATCCAAACCACCTCTTTCACAGCAGAAGGCAGACAACCTAGAGGAGCCAGATAAGCACAGCTGCCTTTAAAGCATGATTCAATTCCCTTCAGTAGCCTATTGAAGCCCTTCAGTAGTAGAAGGAGCCCCTTCCTATCTGAAGATAGTAGGTTCTTTCTCAGTATAAGTTATCAGAAAAGAGCCCACTCAGAGCAGATCTCTAGGTAAGTCATCTAATTTTGTGATCAAAATTATCCTTCCCAACCTCATTCTTTACTTGCTGAGAAAGGAACAAACAAGATTTAACTTCCACTGGCAGGAAGAGAATTTGATAAGGTTGGATTCTCAGTTCAATCTATTGTTCTGTCCCCAGGTTTAGTGACACCATCCTGAACACTGTGGCAAGTGTGTGACCTGCAAACCACCTGGTGTTCTCATCCCCCCTGCTCTGATGACTGTTCACACAGCTCTGAAACAAAGGGCTAGACGCAGGTAAAGTCAGATCATCATCACTGCCGTGGCACAGTTAAAAAGTGCAACTAACAATTCACTTTTATCTAGTTTAACTGACAGTTTAAGGCCATGGACTGTAACTGTACTATTTCACAGCAAGTTACACAAAGTCATTATTTACCATACAAATTCTGTGATGCAAGTGGGAGATGCTCTCCAGACCAAGAAATGAAGGCTATACCAACAGAATTTAGCCACATGAAGCACAACAAGATCTATGATCAAGCCACAGTGGATGCCAAAAAGTCGTTTTGATTTTAACTTCTGAGAACCTGTACTTGGCCAGCAGGACTAATTCTACCAATAGGTTTGGCAGCCAAACCATGCCACCCTCAACAAATCTGAGCCTAAGCTCAACAACTGTTTCAGTCTTCCCTTTTCTTACCTGCTGAGATCACAGCCTCTGCAGGTTAACTAAGGTCTCTTGCTCTGAAGGAATCAGCACAATGTTGTTTCATTCTTGTCTAGTCTATAGAAACAGAGCACTTCAAAGCATTTGTTTACAAACAGCTCCATAAACCCCAAATTAAAGCATTAGTTTGCTAGTTTTACTACCTTCTCCTCCTCAGCCTAAGCAGTTAAATAATTTCCAGAACATTCAGGATAACTTTAATGGCAAGATGTATAAAGCCTCCTTTTGAATTACTACCTATATTTTGAACTGGATTATACCTTTGTATCCCTTTTTAGTTCATTTCAATTAAGGCTCACAGTTGTATAGTCGTTTAAGGAAAGAGAGTGAGAAGTGCTGCTTGTCACTTTACCAAGAAATAACCCATTTTGCTAAAGCCCTCCCAAGCCCACAGACAGAAGGAAAAACACTTAACTAAGTGCGCTATTTTCTAGCGAATATGCCATTAATACAGTAAGAAAACATTCTAGACTCTTCAAGGCTCTAATTGGAATCACTTCCAATTTTGCCAAGTTTGAGATTCAAAAAACTGAAATAAAGCTCTAAACCAGCTCAAAATTGCTGAGATCAGCTCTTGTTCTCCTGCTGTGCAGCTGATATCTTCAGGCATCTCTTTTCATTGCTGCCCTGCCACTGAAAGCAGACATTCTTTGGCTTTTAAAACAGGACTCTGGAAGCCCAAGAGCCCAGTAGTTTGACAGAAGAGCTTTGTTAAATCTTTCTGATACCTATTTTTAAGAAGAATAAAATCTGGGTATTCAACTTACTAAAGACTTAAATATGATGTCACCCAAAGCAAGCACAGAGAAGGCCGTTTTTTGTTTGTTTTTGCAACAAGAGCTTAGTGATTCTCGCTTACCAGAATACGAATTAGAGGCTTTGGGGTGTTTGGTTCTGAGATATGCCTGAAAACACCGGCAGAAATTCCCTAGATCACACAACTAATTAACAATATCATTGAGCCATGAACTGCAAGAGCTCTTCAGCTATTTTGAGATTATCCTGAAAATATATAAGTACTGAAATTCCATTAGCATCCAATGGACTGTAAATGCTCCAACTGGTAGTTGGAATATGAGAACAAGTTCTTTTGAGAT